TGCTCAAACAGCAACATTACAGACTAACTAAAGTTGAAAAAGTGAAAAAGCATAATAGGACCCCTTTAAAGTTCAGTAAAGATGCATTGAATTGACAGTATTTATTCAGAAGTGACAGTAAATATTTATAATGTTAAAAAAGATTTCTATTAAGAATAAATGCTGTTCTTTCCAACTTTCTGTTCATCAAATATAATATATTTTAGAGCATTTGCTCATCTACAGTACATCTATGTTTACTGTCAGGTGTTTATTATATTATATTATATTATAATTTTTGAAATGCATGAACTATGCCATATAAACAAATGCTTAAAAAAAAAAAATTCTGATTAAAAACACACACTTCAAAAATTGTATCCACAATATTCATGTGCTATCTGGGATATAATATACAGTACCATTAAAAAATGATGTGTCAGTAAGATTGTGTTTTTGAAGTCTCAGGTTTCTTGTGCATTTGTTTGTTCAAAAATACAGTAAAAATGATAATATTGTGAAATATTATTGCAATTTAAAAATAACTGTTTTCTATTTTAATATATTTTAAAATTTCATTCAATGTATTCCTGTAATGTTAAAGCTGAATTTTCAGACTTCAGTCTCACATGATTCTTCAGAAATCATACTAATATGCTGATTTGCTGCTCAAGAATTTTTTTTTTATTATTCTTATCATCAATGTTGAAAACAGTTGTGAAAACCACTGTTTTGTGTGCAGTATGCATTAGATGGTGGCTGAATGGACTGTGAGAGGTCCATATGTGTGCTGCCTGAGGCTGAGACCATCCAAGTGCCAGAGATTGATGTTGGACGTGATGCTTTCTGCTCAGCATCATTTGTATGACAGTGTAGCCCTAGGTCAGGGGTAGGCAAGTTCGGTCCTAGAGAGCCGCAGTCCTGCAGAGTGCAGCTCCAACCCTGGTGAAGGTGGAGAATACAAGAAAATGTGGTGTACATAACTGTTTGAAGGAAGTATATCTACAGAGACACCTGTCTTTCATTTCAAATTAATGCCTGACAGCATGCGCGTCTGTTTGACAGATGTTCATAGTCTGAGAACGACAAATGTTTATGTCTAGAGAAACTCAAATATTAGCACACAACTCAGCATGCACTGACTGTCAATGAGTATTACATTCACATTATGTACACTGAATCACCCCCTCGTGCTTTAGCTTTCCCGGGCATCGATATCAGAACGCTGCGTGAAGATGCACAACAAACCCATGCAGATCATCAAGAACTGCTGCACACTGAGCTAAAATGGTGTTCTCTGTCAGCAGTATCTGCAGCATCAGAGAGCCAGCTGTCTGAAGAAATGCTTTGTGCTGTTTCCTGTGCTGTCATTTATTGTGTGGAATGTACACACAGGTATTATTGCTCACATAAATCTGTCAGTACTAAATCAGTGCTGTTGAAGCCTCGGGGCATAAAGACAGCCTCTGCATTAGAAAACCACCTGTGTAGCTCCAGACTAAATCAATACTTACTTTAATGTTCAGATGTGGATTGTGGACCAGTGTTCACATGCTGCTACAAGTTAGTAGTTGTTGTTTTGTTTTTTTTGTACCATAAAATCAAATGTACCAGTCGTTTTATAGTTGTCATGTCTTTCAAAAACTGTAGTTGTTTGTATATATATATCTTTCTTTTATTACAAGGGGCTCGAGGGAAAATAAATTGTATAAATAAATTTTAAATGAGATTTTCTTTTATAGAGGCTAATTTGATAATTTACTTTTATAATTAGATAGATAGATAGATAGATAGATATTAGTCACATTAAAGACATTTACAAATGATTTCTATTTCAAATAAATGCTGTGCTTTTGAACATTCTGTTCATCCTGAAAATAATTTATCAATGTGAAATCTTAAGCAGCGCAAATGTTTTAACAAGTCTTAACAGTGATAATAAAAATAAATGTTTTTTAAGCATCAAATCAGCATATTAGAATGATTTCTGAAGGATCATGTGACACTGAAGACAGGAATAAATTACATTTTAAAATATATTCAAATATAAAATAGGTATTTAAAATTGTAGTAATATTTCACAATATTACTGTTGTTACTGGTTTTTTTTTTTTTACCAAATAAATAGAGAAAGCATAAGAGACTTCAAATACTTTTGAAAGTGTGTGTGTGTGTGTGTGTTTTATATACGTAATTGAATAGAGTAGTATTTCTCTAGATAAAAACAATGAGAGGTTTTAAATAATTAAAAAAGGGGGTTTCATGTAAAAACTGAAATATTTCAATATAGAATCAATAAAACCTAAAAATAAAAATACACAACAATGTTTATGCTTATTAGTTTTTCTTTTTAACTTGTCACCATGGTAGTTGTGGTTAGTTTCTAAATCTTCTATATTCTTTTATTTAGTAGCTGTTATTTAGAATAAATTTTTTTCACAACAAATAGTTTAATTTCCAGATCAATCTATTGATCTAACCACAATAATGAGGAGCAGTCCATGGTTTCACTACAAATCCCACAGCTCAGCTATGCTTAATATGCAAGAATGTCACAAAGAAAGATTCTACATGCCAAAAACACGTTTTTGATGTCTCTTTTCAGAATCCGTTCCTAGTTAACAGTCATTTTTAATCTTCTTTTCCCAAAGTGCAAAAATAGCTTCAGTTTTTGACAGATACAACTAAATACTGCACAAGTCTCAGTGCTTCCCACCTCCTTTTCCTACTCCTTTTTCTGAAAGATGTTTCACAAAGCTGTCAAAACTGCATAAACCCATCCGCACTCCATGCTGCCGACAGACGTGCTAACGAGTTCAAACATGAGTTTCCAGAATCAGAGAACACAGACTTTTTATCCGTCACCTGAAGCTTTAAAAAGCTCTGACAGACTCGTGGCCGAGAACAGGCTCCCGGAAATAGACGTGACGCGCTGAGGTTTTGATTGGAACGGGACATCTCGGGGGAGATAGCCGCAAATATTTGCCAATATAATGAATGTTTTTTATGAACACAAGCTACTTTTGATAATTGGAATATGAATCTAATGGTGCGGTCTTATCGAAACCGTTTCTTTGGACACCTGGATATGAATTATCCCCGTGTGCCTATATCCATATGGACTTGATAATTTGCAGCTTTGTCTAATTGTATCTTCTTCATAAAATTCAATCTTTTGCAAGTTTGCTCTCTGTGGTGCAGATGCCGTCATTCATCTGCTTTGCACATGAATCATCCCTCATTAGCCCTACTGAGTATGATAACGCTCGGATGATTCAGCACAGTTCATGTATGCTGTGATAAGTCCTGAAATGGGTTTGCTTGAAGATTCCGCCTGTGTATTCGGTGTATGAGATTTTACCCTGAGGGGCTTTAACCTTCAGCTTCACCCTTCGTCTCATGCGGCTGTGAATATTTCAACACACAAATTATTTTTTAATGCTTCCCCTCATTTTCAACATTTGAATCATTTCAAATCTTAACCATGAATATTATACTTTCAATTTTATTGAAATCATGTTTGTGCTTTGAAAAAATGTCTCAAGCTGTATCTAGGGATGAGAATGTTTTAGAGACGTGGTCCAGTAAGAATTCACCTTGCAAAAACATGGCAACAAATGTTCATAATGCCTTAGCAACCAAATAGCAACACCCTTGAAATCACTCACGATAATTTAGTACCTTTTTCTTGGGCAATTACGAGAAAATGTGAAGGATTCACTGTCTTAATGTCAGTGTTTTAAATAGTCAAGAACTGACGTGCAGAAATGATTGATAATTGCATATTTTTGTCTCTAATAATAGTGGGTTAGAAAATTGTGGGATTAGTATGTTTACATGAGCCAGAATCCAACACAAGTGTTATTGTTATTGTTATTATTATTATTAGTATTTAGTATTATTATAGTATCTATTAATTCAATTTAACTAACTATTATTTTTATATTTTCAGTTATGTTTTAAGTCACTTTAATTGTAGTTTTAGTACTTTTGTCATTTTTATTTATATTTCTGTGTAGTTGGAAGCCTGTTTCGGTCACTAAATAAAAAATAAAAAAGGTAATCATTACTTTTTATCTCAGAATTGCGTGATATAAACTCGCAATTGTGAAAAACAAAGTCAGAATTGTGAGATATAAACTTGCCATTCTGACTTATTTCCTTGCAATCCAGAGTTTTTTTCTCACAATTCTGACTTTTCTCAGAATTGTGAGATGTAAAATCACAATTAAAGTCAGAATTGCAGGTTTATATCCCATAATTCTGACTTTATAACGTGCAATTTTTCACGTGATTCAGACTTTATATCTCGCAATTCTGAGAAAAAAGCCAGAATCGCAAGTTTACATCACGCAATTCTGAGAAAAAAGCCAGAATCGCAAGTTTACATCACGCAATTCTGAGAAAAAAAGTCAGAATCGCAAGTTTACATCACGCAATTCTGAGAAAAAAGTCAGAATCGCAAGTTTATATCACGCAATTCTGAGAAAAAAGTCAGAATTGCGAGATGTAAACTCGTAATTGCGAGAAAATAAAAATCTGAATTGAGTTAAAAAGTCACAATTACCTTTATTCAATGGCAGGAACTAGTGTTGCTTTCGTCAACGAAAATTATGACTAAATATCGTCGTCAACGAACATTTATCACGTGACGAAGACGAGACGCAACGTAAATGCTGGTCATGTGACGATGACTATAATTAAATGTATAATGCAATATTGTTGACGAATACTAAAACTAAAATTAAAACAGGCCGCCAAAAACAACACTAGCAGGAACAAGCTTTCAGATAGCATACATTTTTATTTCAATTATTTTATAGTCTTTTTACTTGCCAAATCAACATTTCAAATTTTCATTTGATATTTATATTTTACCTTTGTTTCAATTATGAAAATGATTTTTAATACGTATAATAAAAATAAAAATAAATGTTTTGGTCTGTTAGTTATCAGAGATATATAGAAACATCCACAAAATCTTAGTCCAGGGCAAGTATTATTGGTATTTATACCTTGTATTCTCATGAAGATGAGTCTATTCAGATTAAACCCTGCAATTTGTGACCTGATCTTATGTTTGGAGTGTGTTCTGAACAGAGAGGTTACAGGCATTTCTTTGTAAGTGGCTTCCTGTAGATAATGTGAGATGACAGCTGTTGAATCCTCTCCCAGGGACCTCTGCTCTTAGACGCCATGGGTGAGAAAAACACAAACGTCCATACAAGGTGTCAGTTTGTTGTCATAGAAACCGGCGTGTTGAGATGGTGGAGCTGTAGGTTATGAAACCGAGCTGGTTTTAGCTGTCATGCAGCTTTTATTACTTGGTAGGAGGTTGATTTACTATTCAGTACATGATTTATTCAAGGGTTTTTCTCTACTGTTACAATTAAATGTAAATAATAAGGTGTTCTTGTGTGTCACAGAATAAAAAAGGAGGAGGGAAGGTTGATTTAGAGGGTTGGTACATATATTATAATTTCAATATCTGCAATCAACAGGGTTCCTGTGGTCACGGAATATACATCTGAAAATACCACTTGAATGAATTAAACCTTAAAGGTCATGGCTGGAAAATTCATTAATATTCTGTAATGAATAAAACTTTTTTCTTAGTTATGTTCTGCAATAAAATACTTTTTAAACTGGTTTTACATTGCACTTGTGTAACTGCGAACATTAACAGTGAAACTTTTGAACATTGTATTTAATTGGATTTTACAGGCTTACATATTTTCATATCCTTCAAAAGAAAATATATTAAAGTTATGTTTAGTTATGATAAAGGAATATTGTAAGATAACAATAAACAATATAAAAGAGAATTTAACATAGCAATTAAATAAAGAAAAATAACAGGATAATGTTCATTAAATAAAATAAACCATTTTTGTTTTTTAGTGATTACAAATGACTGTATAATTCATGGAAAAAAATCAGTTCATTGAAATTCATTATTTATGGAAGTTTGTTTATCTTTTTGGCTTATTTTCCCCCACAGCTCCTGTGTTCAATTTTGGCAATCAGGAGTATAACGTCGATGAGAACGACAGCCACGTTGAAGTCCGTGTGTGGAGGACAGGGACAGATCTTTCTAAAAAAGCTATGGTCACTGTGAGGTCCTGCAAAACAGACCCAGTTTCTGCTGAAGGTGTGTGATACCGTTTGATTTTCCCAATTATCCATCTTTTTTCCCATCCTCAACCAGCATTGTTGCTCATTTCATACAATGTGCTATCATAACAGAGGTCATTTACATATAAGATGTAGAGTTCATTTTAATTAAAGGCCAGTGAAAGAAAATATAAAGCTTTTTTTTTTTTGGTGGAGAAAACCTGACTTGTTTTGGAAAATATAGATGCTATAAATTTGTAAAAAAAAATCAATCAATCAATCAATAAAAAAGTCCTCTTCTTTTAAAATGTTGTCTCTTCCTTTTTTCCCTCTGCAAACAAACCAGAATGGCAGATGGTATTTCATCAATGTGAGAGTTATCAGCTAGTATTATTGAATATTACGGCTAAGTCCTTGAACAAGTGACGTGTGGCATCAAAAATGCAGCTTGGAGCTCTCAGCAAAGCTGAAATAAAAAAGCTCTGTTCATCCGAGTCCTCTGTGCAGTCAACCCAAACTTAAAGGGGTCATATGATGTTGCTAAAAAGAACATTATTTTGTGTATTTGGTGTAATTAAATGTTTATATGGTTCAAAAAACATTGTTTTCCACATACTGTACATTATTTTTTCTCCTCTATGCCCCATCTTTCTGAAATGCATTTTTAGATTTAGATTTTTACAAAGCTCATCGGTCTGAAAAGCGAGGTGTGCTCTGATTGGCCAGCTATCCAGTGCGTTGTGATTGGCCGAATACCTCAAGCGTGTGACGGAAATTGTTATGCCCCTTACCGTACTGTGATGCCGTGTCCCGGAGTGACGAGACAAAAACATTAAAACCCATAACCGAGGCGTTTGTTGCATCCAGTGGGGACATAATTACGGATTATAATGACTGGATCCTATGCTTCTGCTGTTAAATATCATCTGACCTCTCTCTGACCTTAGCCTTTTTTCTGTGTGTTCATCTACTAGCGGGGGTGGACTATGTGGGAATCAGCAGAAACTTGGAGTTTGCACCGGGTGTGAGCATGCAGACGGTCCGGGTCACCATCCTGGATGACCTAGGCCAGCCTGTTCTGGAAGGGACAGAAAGATTTGAGCTTATTCTCCAGATGCCCTCCAATGGAATTCTGGGAGAGCCAGCGAAAGTCACGATCTTTATCAGCGACTCCATTTCAGACTGTGAGTATTTAACATTTTTCTTACAAAATTGTGGCTGTGACACATGCATACACTGTTTCATAGACTCACCCACAGCACGAAAGTCTCAATTATTACTAGTTTTTGTCCTTGATATGGAGGTAGACTGTTATATTAGAGCGTTTGGATTTGTTTGTTCTCTTTCTTCAGTGCCAAAAGTGCAGTTTAAACAGACTGTGATGACTGCAGAGGAGAGTGAAGGTCACATCACTGCAATGGTACAACGCAGCGGAGACATCAGACACAAGTCCACTGTACGCTGCTACACCCGGCAGGGCTCTGCACAGGTGGTGTTCGACTTTGACGAGAGACCCAACACTGACACGTCCATCATAGCTTTCTTGCCCGGTAAATAGCCTTTTACTTGAGATGGGAAGTGGAATGAACAAATGAATGAATGAACAAGCGAATGAACCAACAAATTAATGAATTAATGAACAAACACATGAAATTAATGAATGAACAAATAAATTAATTAATCAATGAATGAACAATGAACCAACAATGAACAGATTAATGAACAAACAAACAAACAATGAACAAATTAATAAATGAACGAACAAATAAATAACGGAATGCATGAATTAACAAGCAAACAAATGAAATTAATGAATGAATAAACAAACAAAATATGAACAAATGAATTAATGAACAAACAGAGAACAAATGAATTAATCAATGAATGAACAAATAAACGAACAATGAACAGATTAATTAACAGGGTGTCCACGAGTCTTTAAAAAGTCTTAAGATGTCTTAAAGTTTTTCTAATAAAAGGCCTTAAAAAGTCTTAAAATGTCTTGCATTCTGATTCGATGGGTCTTAAATATTTTTTCGTCACATTACCACTAAAATGTCTCCAGTCTGACGGACCCAGCGACTGTTTACAATTGGACAGACAGAAGATTTTTTTACTTGCCCGATCGGACAAATAGCCTGATTAAAACTTAAGTGACAAAAAATAACCAGTGAAGCATCGAAGCGCGAGAATGATTCTTCTGATTTTATTACATTCAATGTAAACAGCGATTGATAATGGATAGTGTATTTCTGGTATCAAGATGGCGCTGTTGAGGCTCACACTGTCTCTTTGTGAGAGACTTCAAAACAAATGAGTGTAACAATCTTTAATTTTTGGCCACCTTTTTGCGATAGAAATGCTACAGCCTCTATAATTTCTTCAACAAAAACGTGGACATCACAACCCTTACAAAAATTAACCATGGTTTTATGGTAGTAAAACTGCTTAATTTTCTTTTGCGTGATTTCTGAATGCTTGAGACTATAAAATCAATCAGGCAACTCTAGGCTATTAATAAAAGCGTAGCCATATTTAACTGTCTAAAGCTTCAATTGCAATTTGTAAATAATATAATTTAATTACAATTTATTTATTTATTTACTTTTATATTTTATTCAAGTTCTATTTTGACCCCTATAGTAGGTGTTTTTTTTTTTTACTTCCATATTTGATGGAGGGGGCACAACAACACAATTCTGCTTAGGGCAACCATTTGGCCAGCAGCGGCCCTGGTAACTTAAAGATAAGTTACTCAGTAAAAAACAAAATTCTAAATGTTTAGTTTATTCATAACATGATATAGTTAAGTAACATACCATGACCAGGTGGCTATTTTGCTAAATTTACACGCCATTGCAAATTTTAGTTCAATAAACAAGTTGTTAAGAAATCAAGTAGTTATTAAGTTACTTACATTTTAGACACAATATTTACTGTTTTGTTCTATTTCATCAACGAAAATAGTTCCAAGCAAAGATCACAGCAGAAGTATTGCACATTTTCCAATCAACACTCGGCGGTGTTTTGTTACTGAATGATCCAGCATTTTGAACGAATCGGTTGAATAAATGACTCCGTGACTCACTCATTAAGTGACTTACCGCCACCTACTGGTGGTATAGTATGTTTAAAAGTATGCCCCCCCCAGCGTTTCTTATTTGTATATCCAAAAATGTATTTAAAACATTAATCTCATAACATTATTTATTGTCGTTGTAATTTTGCAGTGTAAATTATTTAATCTGACTGGTAACAGCCCTTTAGTGTATATTAAATTTATTGATCAATTGTAAGAATTTGACATTAAAGATTATGCTTACATTTAAAAAGGTACAAAAATAGGCCTTTATAAAGGTAATTAACAAATATGCAGATTTAAGTATGTAAAATCTGATAGAACACTGATGAAAATATTGCTTCAGAATAAATCGTTTACACCACCAAAAATCTCGGTGATGCAGTGCTTTTGTGGGGATATTTTGAATGGAGTATTGTCTGCTGAAAGTTCACTGTATATTGTAATAATAAATAACATTTATGACAGCGATGATATTTTGTTTTCTTTTTACATTAAACATTACATATATGTGAACCTGGACCACAAAACCAGTCATAAGGGTCAGTTTATTTTGACCCCTATAGTAGGTGTTTTTTTTTTTTACTTCCATATTTGATGGAGGGGGCACAACAACACAATTCTGCTTAGGGCAACCATTTGGCCAGCAGCGGCCCTGGTAACTTAAAGATAAGTTACTCAGTAAAAAACAAAATTCTAAATGTTTAGTTTATTCATAACATGATATAGTTAAGTAACATACCATGACCAGGTGGCTATTTTGCTAAATTTACACGCCATTGCAAATTTTAGTTCAATAAACAAGTTGTTAAGAAATCAAGTAGTTATTAAGTTACTTACATTTTAGACACAATATTTACTGTTTTGTTCTATTTCATCAACGAAAATAGTTCCAAACAAGGAACAATATCCAAGCAACACTC